GCCCACCACTTCGGCCTCCAAAGCTGCTGTAAGATCCATCTCTGTGGAAGACAAGACTGACGTCAGGAAGTGGGTCAATTATTCTGCACACTACAGCTACCAGGTAGCCCGGGAGGCATCTGGCTGATGTTCCCCCCTCTCCCCTCCCCCCTCTCATTCCTTTTAGCAGTGCCTGCGCTGGGTGCAGTGTTCTCTTACCTCCTTGGAGGCGGCTCGCCATGGTACATAGCCATGGGCGAGTCTGCTCTGATGTAAAGGAACAATCTCTCTGTGGGCAAGAGGAAGGTTGGGAAAAAAATAAGGAAGCTGATGAAAGAGGAGAATATAATGTCATCATAAACAACAACATAAAAAAGAGGACTGGGATAAAGGGATTTTATTATCCATTCATAATGTAATTTATGTTGCAGAGTAGTGAATTTGGAAGTCAAGAGGAGTGTCAGGAAAGCTAGCCCAAAGCATACATTGCAGCTACAGGAGTTGATGATGTGGGTCTGAGTAAAGTTAGGACATTCATGACCTGGTCACTGGGCTGTCACAGGACAGAACTCAAAAGCCCAACCAGCTTCTAGAGTAGTAACAGGATCAGGCTGTGGAAGGACAGACACCAAGCTGGGGTGTGCTGACACGAATGGTGACTATATCCGGGGGAGTTAGCGATTCAGTGGGAGGATATTAATGCCAGGGATGGGAAATGGCTTTTGAAAAAGGATTTTGCAAAGTGGCTTAATAATTTTCTATTCATAATAATATCCTTAGAATAATATGGTGATTTATTGGTTTTTAATTGCCTCCTTAGTTGTGTGGTCTACCAAAAAGAACACATACTCCATCTTGTGGCCAGAAAAAAAAGAAACAGCACTTTCCTCAGACATGCGATTTTCAACCTTTGTCATCTCATGGCACACAAACTAATTACTAAAATTCTGTGGCACACCAAAAAACATATTTTTTTTTTTGCAGATCTGACAAAAAATAGATATAATTTTGATTCATTCACACCAGACAGCTATTTTTGTGTTGACTGTTGTCATTGTTTTATTTACAGTCTAAGGGAAAGGAGGTCAGTGCCCGACTAAATAGTCAGGTACTGCATGTTTTAAAAATTCTTGCAGCAAATCGCTGCCCTAGTCAACTGTTCTGTCTTGACTTTTTCCCCTCGTCATAAATGTCCACTATGGTGGTGAGGGAAGCAGCTTTAATTATGAAGCTTCCTAGCTTGAAGGATCCCCTGCCTGGCTTACCCAAGGCTCCAGTTCGAGTGTGTCGCTTTCAAGGCAAGATTAATTTCTGATTCCTTGACAATTACAGCTACAGTGTTTTGCAGACAATATGGGTAGAACTGAAAACACTGCAATACTTATCAGCTTGGAAACTTTTTTAAAGAGATACAGTAATGGAGAGTGTAAACAGCCAATTGCAAAGGAAGCCATTCATTTATCAACCTCTGTGCTTGCCTGCTATATGCCTACATCACTGGGATGCAGTAGTGACTAGGGCCAGCCCTTGACCTATGGAGCCCATGGTGCGGTGTAGAAGGTACAGTGGGAATACGCGCCGGGGAGCGCCTCACTCTACCTAAAGAATCAAGAATAGCTTCACAGAAGAGATGACCTTTGAGCAGCTGTGCAAGACAAAGAATAAGAATCTTCCAGGTGGACAGTGAGGGAGAGGGAATCCCACACCAAGTGAAGAGTCTGTGCACAGAGAGAATCATCATAGACACAGGGCAAATGGCACCAGGGAACCCCAAAACATGACAAAATCACAAGGAATCTCAAGGAATCTAAACCCAGTGAGGTATTCTCTCTTGGTTTATTTATTTCTTGAGATGTTTTCTCTTCTGATATTTCTCTCCAACTTTTATTCCTGACAGGTGGAGATTGAGCAAAAAAAGAGTTTGAAGCCGGACTTTGAAGGAGAGGAAGTGGAAAACCCCAAGGAGTGTGGGGTCCAGTGACAAAGCCTCGCTGAGAGGCCGTGACCTGAGAGTTCCAATAGGACATCTTCCTGAATAGCTGAAGTTCAAGTCAGTACCTACATGACTACCCCATGCTGGGAGCAGTGTATCGGACCTTCCTGTCTGTAGTTGCCTATATGTGAACAGGAGACCCGAGGCGGCGGCTGCAGAGAGGCTCTGACTGCCTGAAGCAGCTGGTTCACCTGGCTTGGAGCTTCCTCATTAAGCCGCCTCTGCCTCTGCTTATCTCACAGCACTTGGGTGTGGTTTGTTGTGACTAGGAGAGTCAGGAAAAGAACCTCCGCATCAGTGTTGGCATGATTTCCTTCTGGTGTTCTGTCATTTACATGAATTTCTGGAAAACCCGGTCTTGAGAGGTTAATTAAGAACCCATCTCTGTCACTCCCTCTAGAAAAGGTTCAGAAAAGGTACAAAACAAATTTCCTCTTTAGGTTTCCTAGTCCTTTCGCAGGTGTCTCCATTCTTTGTATATGAACACTATGCAACAGACGTTTTCGAGATGCTAGACTGTTTTGAATGAAACACTTTTTCCATCTCTCTAAGGTTTTGGTCACAGGATGGGAAAAAGGCACAGGAAGATACTCTTTTATTCTGTGATTAGCCCCACATTCTGCAAAGGGTGGCTGTTGAAAGGAAAGCAAAATGGATGCTTTCCTTATTTTTCTTCATTCTGGGGAAAAGGGACATTCATTGTAAGGTTATATTCAATTCAGGAGACAGCTTCAATCTCAGTGAATTCCCAAATTCACATTGAAAAATATAGGCCATTTCTGATTTCTGAAACAAGTGGATATATGTTATACCTCAGGCATTTGGGAGCTCTTTGTATACCTCATAGCCAATAGAGAGCACATGTCTCTGTAACTCGGACTTTTCAGGAAACGTATGCTGAAGAGATCATTTCAAAGCTGTTTTAAAACTAAGCTTGTATGAGCTTTTCCCAGAAATTCAGAGTGTGACAAGCACAGTATTGTAATAGATCTAAAAGGCAGAAGACTCTAGGGTAGAGATGGTGGGAAAGCCATACTTTTTAAACATAGATTTTAAGAGTCTGGGACACTCAATCTTCTTTGCCTTCATCCGTTCCAGCTCACATTCTGCACCTCTGCTTCTTATTTGTACGTTGGTGTTTTCTTACCACACAAGAAGCTACATCAGCCATCCCGAAGGGGATACCTGCTCAACAATTCAAAGGCAGCCTGTCTCTGTCTTTCTGTATATCCATGAAGAATGGAAGAGGGGGACAGAGAGCACATTGATCAGATTTGTAGATGACACAGAAATAGACATATATCTAGTCTGTTGACCAGGAGATTCAGGATTAACTTATTCAATGAATAGTCATTGAATTCTAACTATGTACTGACACTAGGATATAGGAATCATTATAATTTTTTGAAATACCTGAGCATAAGACTGAAATTAAAAAGATGAAATTGAAGCATTAATGAAAAAATATATTTTGAGTTTTCTTAAATGCAACCCTCTAAGAACAGCATGGTATATGTGTTGTGTATTTGTGGATGTGTGTGTATATTGTGTGTGTGTGTGTGTGTGTATGTGTGTGTGTGTGTGTGTTGATGGGAAGGGTGTTGGAAAGTCATGGTTTCATAGCAGTTCATGTAGAAATGTTTTCTTATGGAAATAGGAGTTCCGTTTTGAATCAGGAGTATATTGTGGCTATTCATAAAGCTATTTCATTCAACCTGTGGTAATAGAAGTCCAGGGAGCCCTGCAAGCTGCACTGGTAAGACCACATCTGGATGGAGGGTTGGGTTCAATTCTGGGTACTATATTTTGAGAGAGACATTAATACATTGACTGTGTCCAGAGACAGGTGGCCAGGGTTGTGAAGGGTCTGATTATACAAGGAACAGGGGAATAGATCCCTAAAGAACAGAAGGTATAGCTGAAAAGGAAGTGCAGAAAAGGAGGAAATGATATAATAGGTGCATTAAAATTTCTGTTGAGTTATAAAATAAGAGAGTACTTAGACTTATTCTGTGTAGCTTCAAAGGGCAAAAATAGGAACAAAGGGAAACTTGATACATGATAGATGTTTGCTTCAAATATAAGAAAGTTTTCTAATAAGAGTTGCTTTAAAGAGGAATGGACTCAATAGCAAAATTTCCTGTTGCTGCAAATGCTCAGGCAAAAGTTAAAATAATGATCTCTCCCAGATGCTTCAGAAGGTTCTCTTACGTTGGATTTGAGCTGATGACTAAGATCCCTTCTACATATAGTAGTAATAGGGCTCTCTGACTCTAGGAGTGGTTTTTCATGCTCTTTGAAATATAGCAGGGTCCCCCAGTGAGTGGCGTCAAGTGAGGGTTCCACAGTATTTCCCTTCCCCACTTGTACTAAAGGCACATGAGATTCCTCATAAAAACATCAAGGTGAATTGAAGACTTAGCAAGGTGAAGGTCATTCTGGCACCTTCCTTGCCCAAGGTTAACATCCACACGCCCTCTCAAGAGCTCTGCCTCACCTATTAGCATCACATGTGTATTGCTTGTTGGACCTTGTATCCCCACTGGCTCAATTCTGATTGCTTCATGCTTTCACCTGGACTTTTTTTTTTTAACCAAGGGCTGGGAAAATTCCTTCCATGCTGTCTTTAGATTCAGCAAGCAAGTTATTAATATTTAAAAACCTACCACTTTGATTTCATAAAATTTGTTTTTCCTCTACTATTTTGGGGAAACTGATTAAAGGTAGCCTTTAGGGGCTTGGGGAATATAATACTATATATTTCCAGACCTAGTGTTTTGCTAGTCACCTACACAGAAAACACAGTTGGGCAAATTACCTTTTTAAAACAAAAACATCATTTTATTTTTTATTGATTTAAGAGAGAGGAAGGGAGAAGAGAGAGAGAAAAAAACATCAATGATGAGAGAATCGTTGATCGGCTGCCTCCTGCACACCCGACACTGGGGATTGAGCCTGCAATCCAGGCATGTGCCCTGACCAGGAATTGAACCATGACCTCCTGGTTCATCAGTGGATGCTCAACCACTGAGCCACACCAGTGAGGCTCTCCTGAGTTCTAAAGATGTTTTCAAAACATCACCAAGGTCTAAGTGCCATTTCTCTACAAATCACCATTTCTTCATTATGCTCTTTAGAAATGAAACTTGCTTTGGATATTATGACTCATTTTATGTATTTAAGGAATTAGAAGTGAATGAGACATACAAGGCAGTCATAAACATAGAAAAATAAGTGTGTGTATCAATAATGTTTTCCCATGTATTAGCTAAAGCAAGAAAACGGAATTGTTTCATTTCTTCTAGTGTGCCTTAGCAAATCTGATTGAGAGTCTAGTTCTTGGTTTTTATTTTGAGAATTGAAAAAAAATCTCTGACCTTGCAATTCCAGGCCTTGTAAAGACAATATCCATAGTGATATGTTCAGTAGTTCCTGGAGAGAGGTAGATAACAATTGTATGTCATAAAAAGCTATTTAAAAACAGACTCCAAAAAATAGATTTTCAATATGAATGAGAATAGAGAGAGATGACAAATATAGCACTGGCCATCAAACCTCAAATTCCTGGACTTGAGGCTATCCCTGAAAAGTAAGGAGCCCTAAGAAAAATAACGGATTGCATAGCAGGGATACACAATAGAATTAGTTCAAGTCAACAAGTATTTATCAAGTGTCTACTTTGGTCAAGGTGCTGTGCTAGCAGCCAGCTTCCCTAAAGGGAGCTGCAGCCAAACACAAGGACACTGAGGATTGCTGGTGTAAAATCATTGGTGGGATTAAAATTGGGGTTTCTATGAATCTTTAAAGGACATTGTCATGGATTGCATGAATTGCATGTTCAGTGACTTGCAATCTTCCCAGTTGGGCTTCAGTAACCTCAGCGAAGAAAGTGAGGAAGCTGGACTCATTGTTCCCTCAGGTCCTTTCCAGTTTTATGGATTATTTCACAAAATACCCTTTGGTGCCATTGTCAGTGATACTTCATGTCAACAGGCCTCTTCACATAGTCTTAAGAACCAAGACATTTAAACTTTGAAGATTGGAAAAGTCAGCTGGCCCATCTTTTTCCTTTTCATGTCTCTATCCTTTACCATCTGCCCAGACCATAGAAACACAGGAAACCCTGCAATCCTCTATTTTGTAGTTGCCTTCAAAGAAATAGATAAATATGGAGGATCAAAGGATGGTGAAGATCAACAGGAACACTGCTTGGGAAGGTCCACTGGGATCACCCAGCACAATGTATGAGTGTGAGGAAGAGCAGAGAGCTCTCCAAAATGGATGTTGTATTTGGGTACTACTTGCAGTAGAAGTAGGTCTAACCCTCCAAAGTACTAAGGTACGTTAGGATGATCAGCAATTTATAGGTATATCCTTTTATACAAAAGACTGAAGAAATTGAGGGAGGAAAAACCACTCAGTAAACATCCTAGGACTATGTCATACAGTTATGGCAAAATGAGATGAAAGGGTCAGTCCTCCCTATCCACACTGTCTCCTAGGAACATAAAAATGTAGCTTTTGAATTTTTTCAAACATGTACAAACTACAAAATAGCATCTCTTCTGTGGCATGTGTTAGTATGATTTTAATTTCTTGTACTTAGATTTGGTCAAATGGAATGGCTCCATTCGAACTGGACAGAGCAAGAAATTCCCACATCCTCTGCCTCTGATCAAACTCTCAATGCTAGTTTTGGATGCCATCTAGACACACTGACTGAAGCCTTAAGTACCATGTGCTTCAAGGTCAGCGACCCCACTTGGTTCTAGGGAAGCAGATGTGCAGATCCCGACAGCAACCTGTTGGACCAAAGTGTTTAAGGGTTTTAAAGTATGGGGGTGACAGAAGAGATGACTATGAACTCCTCTGACCCTAAGCCAACATTCATTTAACCTTTGTGTCCAACTGCCAACAGAGCCTGGAGAAATTTTCACTATGTTCAGGAAATTAGACAGTGTTTTAGTCAGAGAATGATAAAAGTGCACCCCTCCTCACCCTGCATTTTTATAATGTCCATAGTGAATTTCAATGTGTCAAGATGGATGGACCCAAGATCCAATGAATGATTCACCTGATCCAAGGCTTGTATTTTCCTTCATTCGTCAGCTATCTTCATTTGATGAAACTTTCTTGTACTATTGTGATTAATTTTATGTAAAATTGCTTTACTTAAAAAAAATATGTGCCTATGTAATAAAGTCTACACACTGGCTAACTCTGTAGAGGTGAGATTTTGTTTTTAATTGTTCTGCTGATTATCATCTGTAATACCTTTTTGAACTATGAAAATGAGCTATTAATAAACATTTCTAAGCAAAATCTGTCACTGTACAAGATTTAATGAGATTAGACATAAAGAAAAATGTTTATCAAAAAAAGGCCCATCACCCAAATAACATGATTAGTGACCATAAGTTGACAAGTTAACAAGTGGCCTGTTTAATTATCCTAGTTAGGTTTATCACATATGTAATTTACTCAGTTCAAGATATATTTATTGCATCCCATTTCTCTCTCTTGAACAGAACACACAATTTTATGGCCTGGTTAGTATGACATCAACTGATATTAGGTACACAAAAGGGTTTATAGCCAAATAAGAGCATAAAATTTTATAAGTTGGGGATTCTGAAGAGTATTCTACTCTTTCTCCCTATTCTTCCATTCCTATAAATAGTTCTCTCTTTTCCACGTCCAGCACTGCTAGAGAGCAGTCCAGTTCCTGAGTAGGGAAAGCTGGGGATTGAGAAAATGAAAGAAAGAGACAGACACAGAGATAGAAGGAAAAAGCTGGGGCCGGGTGGGACAGCTGTCCTCTGATGGAGAAACAGTGACCCAGAGCCGATACAGCGCGTTTATTTTATACTGCAAAATACCAGGAAGTTTTACTAAAGCCCAAGACAAAGGAGATTATGTGCATTCTTGTGGCTTCTTTGTAATCGTCACTTCTGGGTGGGCCCAGATGATCGTGTTTGTTACTGGTACTTGTCTGGATTTAGATAATGAAACCCACTCCCTGGCACCTGAGCTGAAGGTCAGGCTGACAACATACCTGCCTCTGGCAAGGTATGTTTCCAGGGCTTGGCTCTGCCGGGCACCGCTGGATTCAGATCACTATCAGCTCAAGAGCCTTTCCCAGGTGCTCTCTACACACTTCTATCTGCCCAAACTCCACTTGAACAAGTTTTGAAGCTTACTTGCCTAGGTCCCACATTGTCACAAGGTTTTAGCCTCCTATGGTCCCCTTCCCCTTTAATAGCCAAGTGGAGCAATGTATTCAAGTAACTGTTGGGAGCCAAGCTTGCTCCCTAATGTTCCTCAGGATTTGGGGGAGGGAAGTTGAGAATGATAAGAAGTGAAGATGAGAATGTAAATGTCCTCAGTGTCCCTTCAAACTCTTCCCAGCATCTCCTTGATTACCTCCAACCAACTGCTCTTGATTCCTCCATGCTGGGGAGCTTTATGTATTCCTAAAGCAGACCAATACAAGCTAATATTTATGTCATGCTTCTACTTTGGGCAACTGCTTATTCTAAGTATTTTAGATGCATTACCTTATTTAATGAAAGCAGCCCCCTCTCTCCATTCTGCAAAGTACTAATAACTCAAGGCTGGTGGTACAACCAATGTTTACTAAGGATTAACAATCAATGGTGAGTATAGCACAAAACAGGAAAGAACTTAAAACTACATATCAGACATCCTTGCTCCTAAAGCTCATTGCCCATCCTCCACAGCAGGAACCTTTATTAAGCATCTTTCTCCCTTGACTCTACCCTGAGTAAGTGGAGCCAACTCCTCAAGTCCCCAAAGTACTGTCTCTCCAACTGCCAAGGGAAAAC